CTGCGTGAGTGGTGTAGAATCTGCTTGATGCATGAACGTCTCCAACCCTTCCAGAAATTCGTTCGTCACCCTCCCGTTATTATCTCTGTGTGAATACATCCACTGCCGCAACTCGAAAATATTTCCCGGACCGGACATTTTTTTGTGTTTGATCAAGCTTATAGCTGTTTTTTTTTGGTGTGTTTCAAATGAATCACATGAGGTGGTATTTATAGAAAATTTTGAATCTGAGCATTTACTAGGAAATTGCTAGGAAAAGTAGGTACAAAACATGTGTTTTATTTAAATTCGATATTTCCTATCTATTTCCTCCTAATTTCGTAGTAAGCAACTATTTCCCCCTAATTTCGTAGTAATATTTTACTACGCCTTTACGAGGAAAGTGTTTACTACGACATTACGAGGAAAAGTACTTTTTCCTCGTAAGCTCCTCGTATATTTACTAAGGTCTTACGAGGAAAGTGTTTCCTCGTAAGTTTTCGAGGAGCTTACGAGGAAATTTGCTTTCCTCGTAAGATCCTAGTAAAGGCTTAGTAAATTTACGAGGAAGAATTTTCCTAGTAAAATTTCCTAGTAAATGCTTTGTTTTCTTGTAGTGTAATTCAGTCGGACTTTCATAAAGTTCCGACCTTTGTTCTTTTCCTCGAATCTCTCTGTAATCTCTTTCTATTATCAACTCTGATTAATAAAACGCGTTCAAACAACCCACAAATCGAGTTTAGTTTTCCAGTCAGTCCACCGTACGAAACTCAGAATCAACAGGAGAGATGAGGGTGAGAGATTGAGTTCGAAGAGATGATGAAGGTGAGAGATTGAGTTCGAAGAGATGATGAAGGTAAGAGATTGAGTTCAATATATGTGAGCTAAGTTGATAGGGTTTTTGTCCCCTCATTCTTTCTCCTTCTCCCTTTATACAATTTCTTGTTCCTAAGATCTCGGCCTCTCGTCAATCTTCTCGTCCTCCAGCTTTCCTCGACCTTATCGATATATTGACCGGCTCGTCTGGCTGGGCTTTTATCTGGGTCTTTATTATTGGGTCCAACAAGTTGGTTTAGTTCACTTTTAGATTCTGCTTATTTGTTCAATGTTATTGTATCGACACCTTTACCGCACCTTGGAAAAACAAGAAAAGAAAACCAGAACGGCTCGCATCAAAACGGCTGCATTTAATCGAGCCTGGTATTCTCTTGACTATTTTCAGAAAGTAAAAATCTCAATGCCTGAACTTACGTGATGAAATCTACTGAAGGGAGATCATTTCGATAAGCAAAACACTTTGCGGTAAAGTTTAAGCTCTCGATTTCCTCTCTCAAACCAGAAGATGGTCGTTTTATTCTGCGTCAACTAGTATTTAAATACAAATTGAAAAAAAAAAAGAATAATGCGTGGTAAATTTGCCCTTAAATGTGAAAAGAAATATCAAAAGTTACTTATATTGCATGAGGTGAGAGCTAGAACAAGGGAAGCACAAAACCCAATCCTGTTCAGATGGAAGAGAGCTAGACAAAGACCATAAACTCTTTACCAAAACGAATATCACCAAAGTGTGGTTTAGCTACGAATCCAAGAAGGCTCCAAACTAAAGAGCTTACCACCTCGGTTTTGAGCAGCTGATGATGTTAGGGGTGGCGGTGCATGTACCATGATCGGAAGAACCCATTCGCATTTTTCCCTTTCCCGTATTAACAAAGGATGTTCATACCTATAATATCATACAGGACCAGAAGTAACTGACTATAAACAACTTAAACACGTTATATTGAAAGAGAATGAAGCCTTTGCATTAGAGGTTCGTGTTGAGCATTGGGGAGTGATACCTGCTCAAGTCCACATCTTTCGGGGTAATTAGGAACTCAAACCGAAGAATCCATTTCACAGAAACACGGGGTGTTGTAAACGACATTGGACCATCCGTGGGAATCGAAAACAGGAAGCTTGTTTGAATAAGGTCTGCCACCACTTCATGGTGATCGCTTTGGGCCTGTTGACAAAAGACAGCATTACATAAAGAACGAATAGAATGTAGTAGCAAAAGATATCCCTTGTATTTGTACCTTAGTATGCGTTGGGGAGTTTCTCCTAGACGAATGAACAAATCTCCTGTTTATCGTTTCTGAAGTTTCCAGTGTAACCGAGACCTGAAATCGGATATTTGATGGTCAAGTGTCAACAGACACTTATATAGCCTCAACTTCAGAATTATACACACAAAGAATTTTATGGTATATGGATTTTTACCTCCAGGCATCGCCTAGCTCCTTCTTCATGGAAGAAAGTAAGAGTACCACCAATCTACATCAGTGGAGGTAAATCGGTACTAACTGCACGAAATGTTATGAAAGAATGGGGAATGCCATGAAATGCCATTACGTTATCGCTGATGTAATAAGTAGAGTCCGTGGTCTTCGGGGGAAATCTAAGAAGCACTTGGTCATCCATTCTGATGTTGTAAGATTTTCCTCTTGTAAATCTTTCTGCTGCAAGAAAATGATTGCACTGGATAAGTTGCAATCAACAGATAAATGAAGACATGTAACAGGGGCGGAGGCATTTAAAGGGCAGGGGTCAGCTGACCCCAGTCAAATTTAATTTTCAACAATGTTTACTAACAATATTTAGTATTGACCCCAGTTAAAAATTGCTCCTGAGTCTGACACTATGTATTTGAAACCCACTTTACTCTAATTGAAAACATATTTATTTGATCAATTCAAACTTAGTCCATATCCATATGAGTGATATAGATAACGTAAAATACTCAAAATGCGAGAAGGGTGAGAGAGTAGATAGCTCACATGGAAATGATTCTCCAGCTCCAGCTTCAGGTGAATGAGATGCAACTGAGCCATTTGCCTGCTTGAGTTGTTGGCGAGGAATCACGGAATCTGATGATTTACCAGGAGAAAAGCCATCTAGTGTGAAAAAGATGGAAGTATTCTTCAGTACTCCATGTCTTGCACACCAGTTATAGCACTAATAAACAAAATAAATAATGGGGGTAGATTCTAAAATAGCATCTTTCAACTATTATTGGTATTACTATCTTCAGAATTTGTTTGATACCAGCCTTCTACTGAAGACAAAAACACTTGTGCTAGCGAAGTAAGCCTTTCACAACTTCTACAACAAACAATGGAGGGATTCCATGAACTGGTGACATTCTCAGCGACCCAAAAAATGTTGTTTCAGGCAATTACATGCAATTTTTACTTACCAGGTCCAGAGTCATAAGACACCATAGCAGCTGATAACTGAGAAACCATCTCTTTCGGAGATGATCCGACACCTTCGTCAAAATATGACGTGCCTTTCATTGATAATCGTGGTCCAGAATTAAAGGACGATGAACTGCCAAAAGTTCTGTTTAGATTTTCTTTGTTGAGATAGGAAGAAACAGAGGAGATCTCATCGCGTGAACTGTCATAGCCATCCTCAGCACCATCATATGCGTCATTTGCTCTTATCTGCATTAAATACATTTAATTGATTGTTTTTATGTTGACCAATATGCAAATGAAAGCAGTAGATATACATACAAAAAGCTGTAAAAGCAGGAGTAAAGATAAATAGTAATATGGTCGTACCCACTCAGAGTCTCCATCCATCTCTTTCCAGTATATTTCTGTCTGAATGGTATTGGGTGGAACAATCCCTGAGAGAAAACGTAAGATGTCCATCAGCTTGCACTGCTAATGCCGTCCAAACATAAGAAAAAGAAAAAAAAAACTTCTAGGTTCTGTATTTGTTGTCCTATGAATAAACAGAGTTGGGAACCTGAAGTTAAATTCACAAGTTGAGAACTAATCTTACCATTGGTTTGACTTTCCTCTAAAAGCAACCCGTTATTTTTCGGATCTGCCCATACTTGAATTGGGACTCGAGTGTTCTGTTAGTTTATCAAAACATGATTACCAGTGTCAATCCTATGCCGACTTCGATTAGAAAAAATCTAATAACAAAAGGAGAAATAAATTATATTCAGGAAAATGAAGAGTCCTGACTCCTAACACCAAATTATTCTTTTAAAGATTTTCTATCAAGAATCATGACATATGAAGCCTGTAAGCTAAATTTCACTACTGACATATAACCACTCTAGATCCGCTATCAGGAAAGTAACAATTCTACTTTATTAAAGGATATTACAATTAACTGACGGAACTACTAAAGTCATTCCCATATCTAAGAAAACAAAGTAGGTACATGTGACACGAAAGTTTTCCAAAAATGTCTAGACTAACCTATGCTTCAACCTCATACTTTGAACAGAAACACTGGTGCATAACCATTCTATCGCCACAGAGGGACAACAAGCTAGATAATTTAAGAATGTTGAATGACTCGTACAAAGTTGTGGGATTGTCTTATCAATTAGGCATCAAGCAGGTTAGAAACCAAGGGACGCCTAGCTTAAGCACTATAGTAAGAAACATTGTGCTGCAATTTAACATTGTGATGCAGAAGAGCAGAAAATATAATTGCATTCAAACAAACAGGGTAAACAAAACGCAATGTATTGCACCTATAGAACCTAAAAAGAACACGCACAGCCAAGTAAACTTACCACTTCGATGAACTCTTTTGTTGGCTCTTTGTAAAATTGACTGTTTTCCAATGCCATCAATCTTCCGCTTAACGTGCTCTTTATATAGTAATGGTAACGTAGAGTAGAACCCTTATAGGAAGGTGGTATAATCGGTGGGAGTATAGCTCGAACCATTACTGTGTACAGAAACACAAACAAAGAAGCTCAAAGACTGAAATTATAAACCCTGGCCATCAGCATCCAGCAGAGTCTATGTTATTATGCATGTAGTATTAAAGAAAGGAATCAGGCAAGATTACATGTCATCTTAGCCCCAGGAGATAGGAGTTGATTAGAAAGCAATGATGGTGTTGAACTGTCTAGGAAGATGTGTTCACCTGAAAATCTCCAAAAAAATACACTATTACACATTACACACAGATATGGGCACATAATCTAGTATCGTTTTGTTCCTTCAACTTGCACAGATCAAGAAAAAGACCTGGAATGTACCATTTATACAAAAAAAAAAAAACTGTTAAGATATCTCCATCAAATAATAACAATTTTATAAACAAAGGGCTTTTTCTCAATACCTTTCCTTCCTTTGCTTCTTGGTGATGAATTTAGTGTAGAGCACCACTGAGTTTCCAACTTTTCAACTCCCTTAACCTCAAAACTAAGCTTTTCAAGAAAAACCGAGGAGGGATTAGCCCCGTTCTCATAAGCAACCTCAAGAGTTAGGGGCTGTTCGTTTCTTCGTTGAAATGATCCATTCGAATGGAGATGAGCTTTTTGTTCGTTTAGACACAAAAAGTACAATTCATTCAGATGATCCATTTGAATGATTTTTGAAAATTTAGGCTTAATTTTAAAGTTCATTCAGCTGAACGAATTTGGATCATTTGAATGAAGATGGTTCATTCAAAATGGTATAATGTCTATTATACCCCTATTGTAATTCACAAATTATAAACTTAAACATAAAATTATTCCGTGACACACGAAAACTGAAAAACCCACAAAATCTCGTTTTCCCGCCAAATCCGAAAAATCTCGTTTTCCCTAAAAAACCGAAAAAATCTTGTTTTCCCGCCAAATCCAAAAAATCTTGTTTTCCCTAAAAACCGAAAAATCTCGTTTTCCCGCCAAATCCAAAAATCTTATTTTCCCGCCAAAACCGAAAATCTCGTTTTCCCGCCAAAATCACAGAATCTCGTTTTCCCGCCAAAATCACAAAATCTCGTTTTCCCTAAAAAAACCGAAAAATCTCGTTTTCCCGCCAAATCCAAAAATCTTATTTTCCCGCCAAAACCAAAAATCTCGTTTTCCCGCCAAAATCACAAAATCTCGTTTTCCCTAAAAAACCGAAAAATCTCATTTTCCCGCCAAAACCGAAAAATTCGTTTTCCCAAAAAACCGAAAAATCTCGTTTTCCCGCCAAATCCGAAAATCTCGTTTTCCCGCCAAAATCACAAAATCTCGTTTTCCCGCCAAAATCACAAAATCTCGTTTTCCCGCCAAAATCACAAAATCTCGTTTTCCCGCCAAATCCGAAAAATCTCGTTTTCCCGCCAAATCCGAAAAATCTTGTTTTCACTAAAAAATCAAAAAATCTCGTTTTCCCGCCAAATCCAAAAATCTCGTTTTCCCGCCAAATCCGAAAATCTCGTTTTCCCGCCAAAATCACAAAATCTTGTTTTTCCGCCAAAACAACAAAAATGCATTTCCCCGCATTGTTGGAGGTTGATTTAGTTTAAATATATTTTAGACTAAATAATATTAATTAGTATAGTTATAATTAATAGCAAACATATGATTAAATCAAAACAAGGGTATAAATGTAATTTGTTTATCAAACTCATTTGAATGGAAATAAAAAAAAAGAAACAAACATGAAATTCATTCAAATGGTTCATTTAGATGACTCATCTAGATGGAAAAACGAACAATCTCTAAAATTTGGATGAATCATTTAGATGAATCACATAGATGGATCAGCTGAATGAAGATTATAAATGGAGAAACGAACAGCCCCTTACAAAAACGGAATCTCCAGGCCTGTACACATCTTTATCCGTTTGCAAACTTAGAGTTGGTTTAACCTTGCTTCCACAAGATTCATTAACTTGGTAGGAACTGGACCTGCCGATCCCCAAAAACGAAAAACCTTGATGATAACATCGTTTTCAATGGCTGTGTTCCTTAACTATTCTTTCTCACCAAGCAAAGCATAGAAGCTGGCTCAATTACGTGACTTGGATGGAACAAAAATACTCGATTCAAGGTTCCTCCTTAGAATGGCAAAAATGATTACTTCAATCAAAACTGAGATCCGGAGAGAAGATTTCGTTTTGGACGAACGCAAGATCACGTTGACAGTAAAGATACAGAGAGACTGAGCTTATTTCTACCTTGTGACAGCAAGGGGAAACGTCTTGGTAGTGACAGAATCCTCCGTCGGTAGAATCGTTAAATATATGTGATTTGAGATTTCGTCACTAAAACCGGGAATGATCAGTTCAGCATTTCACCTCCTGATCTGTGAATTTACATTGGGGAAATGGCATAACAAAAAGAAAAATGTCACTTCCTAACCCTTTAAAACCTTTAGTTTTTTATTCACACTTTAACAATTGTATCATAAAAAAAAAAAGAACCTCAAAAATAAAAATAAAACTGACTAATTGTACAGATAAAAATTTGATATGTCAATTTTGTTCTTCAAATAATAATAATAATAATTTAATTAAGAAAATCAAAAAATCAAAAAATTGAATAAAATAAAACATTTAATAAAAAAGAAATTTGGCATCATATACACATAATAAAGCATCGGCTACAATATAATACATATTATTGTAAAAATAGACAAAAAATACTCTTGAATGTACGTGAAAATAGATGAGATATTTTCATATCTTGTTCCAGAAAATTAATAGATTGAATTGTAGGATCAAGCAATAGTAGGATCAAGAATTGGATTGAATTGGAGGATCAAGAATTGGAAAACAGAAAATAGTTACATGAAAGAGCTACAGTTGTGGAATGATCATACAAAATGGAAAATCAACTTTAGGATTAAATTGGAGCTTGAAAGTTTTTTCGACGGCGCATTTATCGAAAAATAAGTTGGATTTTAGCAAACCTAGTATGATTGAATTGAATTGTAGGATCAAGCGATAGTTTCGCTAATAATAAGGTAAATCTATGAATCAATATCTTTAAGAAGATGAAGAATCATGCGATGGATTGAATTTGGCAAGATGAACATTAACTCATATCATATATTCTATACTATTTTTAATTACAGTATAGTATAATACACTTTCCCTTCTTCTCTTTTGCAAATTGTATCTCTTTCTCTATCCCATGATTCTTCTCTTTCACTATTCCATCAGTTCCATTGGTTTTTCATCCAACACTGTCGCCACTCATCATCTCCTATAACTTTCCTTCTCTTCCTCCTTGCCAAATTGTATCTTATTTGCTTTTCGATTCTTTTCCTTTAGGAGTCCATTAACTCCACCATATTTTCATTCAGCAATATCGTCACTCATCATCACCCCAAAATCAGATGTTGGATTGCATTAAAAAGAATAATGCTCTCAGTTAATGTTATATTCTATAATGTTGTAACAAATAGAAATGAATGCAGATTCATGGTAACATTAAGAGTTATATGCCACTGAATGAACCGGATGTTTAAAGCTTTTCAAAGGAAAAATTTATATTTGTTTGTAAATGTTTATAGTATAAAACATAATTGGTGTTACAGGCATTCGTTGATGAAGATAATTACTATCATTAATATGTTGCTTCTATTACACTTCTTACATATACTCACGACCAAACTTTTTTTATATCTGGGTTGCAAGCAATTACTATTAAGAATATAATTACTATCATTACACTGTTTACCACAGTGATCAATATTCACGATTGTTAGAATATTCGATAAACATGGCTTACTTAAGGAAAGTTGGATGTTATAGTTTATATACTACCTCTTGTGTACAATAGTATAATATGTATGCCATTCGAATACACAGTACGTTAGTACGCATACGTCCCACCAATTTGGACGCCTCTTTATTCATACAGTCATCATTTTTTTTCCATCTGACCACACACTTTAGAACCTTCTGGAATGTGTTATCAACATATTTTTTTTCCTTAACCAACTTGTCAAACTATTATACATTAATATAATATACTAATTTTGCTTTCTCATGCCCAAATATGTACTAGTTCCCTACATATGTCTCTTCTATAGTACCGTCCAACTTAGTAAGAATATGCTATATAAAGGACTACATCAGTGGGAGAGGTAGGGCTGGGCAAAAAACCCGGATCCGAAAAACTAAACCGAATCCGATCCGCAAAAGTAATACAGAATCCGAACCAAAATTGATTAAATATCCGAATAGGTTCAAAATTTGAGTATTTTAAAAATCGAACCCGATCCGAACCGAAATATTTTGGATAACCGAATGTATCCGAAATAGTTTTAAATACCTAAATATATTAATTATTTTTAGTTTTAGTATATATTAAAAACATCCAAAATATAAAATATACTTTCAATTTATCCAAAAAAAAACTTGAAAATAACTACAAATAGTCAAAAGTAAATGTTTGAAATAGCTAAAGTATGCACCAAATATTCAAACTAATCAATTTTATATGCTAGGTTTAGGTATTTTGACATATTTTATTCAAACTTATATGTAATATATAGTTTTGTTTATAGATTTTGAGAAATGGAAAGTGTATATAATAAATTTTAGAATTTTAAAAATAAATTCAATGGGTTATCCGAATACGAACCGAACTCGCAAAGATCCGAACCGAATCTGAACTGAAAATTAGAAATACCCGAATGCGGCTAAAATCTTTGGCCCGAAAACCCGAAACCTGAATAGACCCGAACCGAATCCGAATGGATACCCGAAAGCTAATACAAATCTTGTTATTTTTCTATAATATTAGAAATAGAAATATAACAATATTTGCAAATTTTGAAATATTTTTCAAGTCTATTTTTTTTTATAATTATATAATTTTTTATTAATATTTTTTTTGCAAAATTTTATGCGGATATTATAAAAATTATAATTTTCTAATCCCAATACTGTTAGTTTTATTTATAACATCTATAATTTTTAGAAATATAATTAATTTTGTAATTCGCTAATTATATATCTAACAAAAAAATTTCTTAACTTTATAGAATCTAATTTAATATATTTTAACCAAAATATTTCCAAAATTTTAATTTTAAATATATACATATATATTATTAAAAATAAATTTAAATAAAAGTTATTTATTTTATCTTTATTTTTACATATAATTGACATAAAATTAATAATGTAACAAAATAACAAACTTACAATTAACTAAATTTTATTTTTAAATATAATTTTATTTTTTGAAAACACCTAGTGTTTTATTAAATTACGAAGTTACTTTTTTTTTAACACTGGATAATTATGCTATTACAAACTACAAGAAATGTTACAGACGATTCAACAGACGACAATTCTATACCTTTTGTGTCATGCTGCAGATCTCTTGTAAGTCTTTTTTCCATTAATTTACATAAATTCGTCTCCTCTGAGACTCGAAATCCATAATTATGTGTAGAAACATTAAAGAATCCTTAATCAAATCACTAGATTAAGGGGACTACTTTTGAAACATGTTATTATTATTAGTTTATCGCCCCCCTCTACCCAATTAAAACTGAGTCGATCGCCACCAAGTTATTAAATTAACCTCATAACTCTCCCGAGGGGTTTCCACACTTGTAGTTGTATCAAACCTTCATCCTATAATTTTTGGATCTTTGTTGAATGAATTTTTTGGAATATAATCTATTGGAATCATTAATTAAGTTTTATAAATTTCAGGATGGCTGTATTTTCACCTGACAGGTCACATCTGATTTTTGTTCAACAAAGAACGGCCACTTTATGTTAGTAGTCTTTAGCCATCAGGCATAATAACACCTAGTACATTCTACAAGTTCGTTACAGATTCACTACTATACAACAAGACATTAAAATAAGGAGACAAAAGGGTTTTGTTTTCATTTGTTGTCGCTATATAGTGACGCCGCTCCTAAAAGCACGTGACCTCTCCAACAAGCCTCTCTCTCCACTTCACTTCACTTCTCTCTCTCTCTCTCTCTGCCTTCTTCCATATGGCTCCATCTGTGCAGCCTCCTTCACCACCTCTCCGTACAAGGTTAACTAATCATCAACCTCAAATCTATATTGGAAAAAAAAATCAATCCTTTTAGTGTCTTGAATCTGCTCTTGATATTAATAGATAATGTTGTGTTTAAACAGTGAAGGCGATGAAAAATATGCGAATGTGAAATGGGAAGAGCTTGGATTCGCTCTGACCCCAACAGATTGCATGTATGTGGCCAAGTGCAGACAAGGAGGGAGTTTCACAGAAGGGAAGATTGTTCCTTATGGTGACATTTCAATCAGCCCTTGTTCTCCTATTCTCAACTATGGCCAGGTTCTCTTCTCTCTTACTCTTATAATCAAAAATGTTAATTTGCATTGCATGGTTGTACAAGCTTGCCGAATCTTCACTGTATCATAGGACTTTTGGGTGTAACTAGAGCAGGATTTGTAAATCCATAGATTTTGTAATAGTTGTGTGATTTATTTTAGTGTATGAGGGAGCAAAAGCTTGGAACTTTAGTGTTTATAAATGTATATATCAGAGTTTGAGAGAAACCCTTTTGGATTGGTAGGGACTATTTGAAGGTCTGAAAGCTTACAGAACAGAAGACGACCGGGTTCTGCTTTTCCGGCCTCATCTAAACGCTCTTCGTATGCAAGATGGTGCAGAGAGGCTTTGTATGACACCACCTTCCGTGGAACACTTCGTGGAAGCTGCTAAGCAAACTGTGCTTGCCAACAAGAAATGGGTATGAATTATATTACATATGATTCTTGATTATAATTATCCCTTACCTCTAGAAGTTCTTAAAGGGGGTGTTATGGTGTTTAGGTTCCTCCCCCAGGTAAAGGAGCTTTGTATCTAAGGCCTCTGCTTATAGGGAGTGGCGCTAACCTCGGAGTAGCTCCAGCACCTGAGTACACATTCCTCATCTACGCATCTCCTGTAGGAGATTACCATAAGGTGAGTTTCTGTTGTGTGTTACTGTTTTGAATACTCAATGAAGTAAACTCTGCCTATAGACTTTTTCTTTAACCTGAGTGTTTATCTGTCTTGTAGGGAAGCTCAGGTCTGAACCTGAAAGTGGATCATAAGCATCACAGAGCCCATTCTAGTGGGACGGGTGGTGTCAAGAGTTGCACAAACTATTCTCCAGTAAGTTAAAGAGACACCAAAGTTATACTATATATGGTTATTGGAATATCTATTAACCTAATTTTCTTTTTGTATTTAAACTTTGAAAGATTGTGAAATCGTTGGTGAAGCAAAGTCATCAGGTTTCTCTGATGTCTTGTTCCTAGATGCGGCAACTGGAAGAAACATCGAAGAGGCGTCTACATGTAACATCTTCATTGTCAAGGTACATTCACATACGATAGAAAGTCTCAACCTTGCATACAAACTCAATGATTAGTAATGATTTGTTTTCATTAGGGGAACATTGTGTCCACTCCACCAACTTCAGGAACCATTTTACCAGGAATCACGAGGAAAAGCATAAGCGAGCTAGCTCTTGATATCGGCTACCAGGTTCCTACATATAATAAAACTTTCTTATAGACACTTTCTTGTGAAATCAAGATTGTGATTAAGAAAAAGTTTCACAGGTTCAAGAACGAGATGTTTCTGTGGATGAGTTATTAGATGCAGAAGAAGTTTTCTGTACTGGAACTGCAGTGGTTGTTAAAGCTGTTGAGACTGTGACCTTCCATGACAAGAAGTGAGTGTTTAAATTGTTATATACTAAGACCGTTTCATCAACATACTTAATGTTGGTTTCGGGGTGCAGGGTAAAATACAGGACAGGAGAAGAGGCGTTGTCTAAGAAGCTTCACTCAATGTTGACGAGTATTCAGACAGGTCTTGTTGAAGATACAAAAGGTTGGATGGTTGATATCGAAACTTGTCAAGGTTGAGAAGAAGATCTGAATAGGCTGATGCTAATGGTCTTCTTCTTACTCAATGGTGTGTACTTTTTCTCTTTGAAGTGTTTTCTTTGTTTTCTTTAATGACACTTGTAATAAGACTTGTTGTGATACAATAGGCAGAGTTGGTCACAGTTTCAAGGTCCTATACGACATAGTTCACTTGATTTGGGAGACAATTTTCGTTCACGAGATGCTAAATGCAAATAATTAATGTAACCAAAAATCCAAAGCTGATTCGTAGAATTAATTAATGGAACACATAACCCAAATGACTCATTAATATTAAAGTAGTATAGCGTTATTTGACAGCTGTGGTATTTGAAATACAGCCCTTACGGACCAGAGCCTAAATCTGGCATCTTAGACCAGGTAAAACTGCATTTGTAGTCTACTAGGTCGTAATGTATTTTAATATACTTAATCTCTTTAGCTCTACACCACTGGCGCAGCGCGCCCTACCAACCCAAACAAGACATGACTTATTCCTGCGCTGGCACTACCACTACATTTCAGTAGCTATGTTATTTTCAAGATGAATTTTATTTTGGAAAAGAGTTTTTTTTTTCTTTCAAGATGAGCTTGTTTACAGTTTTATGTAGTATTTAATGTTTTAAGGATAAATCCTCAAAAATTGTTAATTGTTATGTATTCTTTTTTTTTTTTGACACATTTAAGTAAAATTCTATTTTTAAACATGATATTTTATCTTGATTATGTAACTTATTTTGATTTACAGACATGACTAATGAGTTATGGCATTCGGTAATATTATTCACAGAGAAGAGCTCTCTAATATACATGTACAGAGGAACACATTAAGGCATACACAAAATACATAGGTTAATGTGATTAACAATAACAATATATTGCTATGAATGCATATATACTTTCCTATTCTAATAACCCCTCAAGATGGATCGCCTTTGGCGAGGCCGATCTTGCTACAGAGAGTGTGGTGTTCGGATCGTGTGAGAGGCTTGGTGAATGCATTTGCCAGTTGATCAGCAGAGGTGACATGTGAGATTTTCATATTGCCGACTTGGACTTGGTTACAGACAAAGTGTTAGTCTAGAGCAAGATGCTTCATTTTTGAATGAAAGACAGAATTGGCCGCAAGATATGTTGCACCAATGTTATCACAGTAGACTGTAGGAGTTGTTGTGTAGGAATCTCCATTTTGCTGATTAAGGACATGAGCCAACAAACTTCAGCTGTTGAGGCAATCGAACGGTACTTAACTTTCATAGATGAACACGCAACTGTGGTTTGTTTCTTCGATAACCAGGCTATTGGGTGTTTGCCATAGTATGCTATGTATATGCCAGTGGATGTATAATCATCATGATTCCCAGCCCAATCCGCATCTGTATACGCATGTAGAAAAGGTGTGTTGTGGATGGAGGGAAAGATCCCTGTACTCATGCTGCCAAAAAGATATCTCAGAATGCGCTTTACCTCATGCCAATGCTCATCAGTGGGGCGATGCACGAATTGAGACATCTCATTGACTGCGAAAGAGATGTTGGGTCGAGTAAGTGAAAGATATTGCAAGCTTTCCACCATGGCCATGTATTGCGTCGGCTCCTCCAATGGAACTCCAGAGGTAAGCATCAGATGTTTGTTCATACACATGGGAGTGGGAACATGATTGCAATCTGTCATCTTCGTGCGGTGTAAAAGTTCTGCAATGTAGCGATGTTGTGTTAGTAACAAACCTTGAGAAGAATAATGAGCTTCAATACAAAGGAAATATGAAAGGTGGCCAAGATCTTTTAAAGAAAAACGAGAGGATAAGGCATTAATGAAATGATCTAGATGTGATTGACTGTTTCCAGTGAGAATAATGTCGTCGACGTAGACAAGCATGTAGAGATGAACTCCATTATTGTTGAGGATGAAGAGACTCGCTGGCTTGTAAGTGTTGGAGCTGACGTTGCTGCTGTAGATGGAACCGTGGGAGGCTGAGCTGATGTTTCTGCTGTAGATTGCATTGTGGTAGGTTGAGTTGTCGTCGGTAGTAAGACCTCAGGTGGTGAGGGTGTTGGCACTGATGTTGACGAGGACTGTGTAGGAATGATCAAAACTGGTGGCGATTGTACCTGTGTTGGTTCTGCATCGCAATCCTCATTCACAGAGTCAGACGTCAGTGGGTTAGATAAAGCAAAGGAATAAACATATTCATGGAACACAACATGCCTTGAAGTATAAATTTTAGATGTAGCTTTATCTAGACAATAATATGCACTTTGTGTTGTTGAATAACCTAAAAGTATGCATGGAGTAGATCGAGAGTTTAACTTATGAGAAGTATAAAGTCTTAACCATGGAAAACAAAGACAACCAAATATCCTTAGTTTTGAATAATTAGGATTTTGTAAAAAAATACATTCAAAAGCTGATTTATTTGAGCAGATCGAAGTAGGCATACGGTTAATAAGATCGAAGTAGGCATACAGTTAATAAG